TTCAGTTACTCCGATCGGAACTTCGACAGCAATATATGATGAGAAGCAGTGCCTACGCTACAAATGTAATGTCAGAAGTTTTATGGAAACAAGTTAACATTTTTCATTGATGCATATCTTTCAGGTTATCACTGACAATTGTATTAATTATGCTATTCAGCAATGCAAAATGCTCGTAATTGCGCATCCGGAAGCTATACAGCAGTAATTAGCGACGAATATTAAGCGATTTTGTCGTTTTTTGGAGATTCCACGGTATAAGCGTACGATCTACATCACTAATCTTTGCCTCCCAATCTGTTTGGCGCGGACTAACTGAAATCATCCCATATCTATACTCCAATTGGTATGGGTCAGCGAATACCGTCACGTGATTCAAAGTCATGTGACTCGTCCATCACAAGAATGTCTTTGTAATGTTTGTATATGCCTCCCCATCTATTGCCCACACAGTGCGGTGGGCGTTGTCAAACGTATCCCCGGTTGGACCCCCTATATCCATCCCCATATATACCGTAGCGAATCCAACGCACAGCATAGACACAGATAGCCACCTGCTGTGTGATTTTTGAAAGGCGGCCATCGTGTGAACACAGTTCTACTGGTGCAGAAATACTCAAGCCCAAATTCAATGGAGGTAACTGCCATGATCTCGCCTGAACAGTAGTCTCGAATTCCCCAACACTCGACGATATGTAAGATCGTGCTGTATGGGTGCGTATATTAGTCGCCCCAATTACAAAGGGTAAATCACGCTAAACCTGTTAACTAACGCCCAGCAACTTGGATTCCAGTCCTCTCTATGATTATGGAAGCTGCTACTGCAGTATAACATCCATTGGGATATTCGGAAAGATGAAGTATCATCGACCCGGGACATTGCAGTTTTCGCCGAAAGATTTTGTTATCCCGTAACAACTGTATTAAGTCTGTCGAGGCATCGGAAGCATTTGCTTGGATGATCTAGATCACCACATTCTAGTTTACAAACTTCAGATCTATAAAACTGATGATCCTAGAATGGACTTGGTAAGTACATTTCTACTCCGACATCGCTTGTAAGTGAGAGTTCGTAGTGTCTTGTCAGACCCGATAAAGATGTGTTGTGATGTCTCACAAAGCTCTGTACTGGAACCACGGTTATTCCTGGAATTTATAAACGGCATTGCTGGAGCGACTGGCGCAAACCTTCTACTCTTTCCGGATGGTCTCATGATTGTTGGTTAGTTTTCAGAACGGTAAATCAGGACATATCACTGCAAGATGACCTCAATAAGGCTTACAAATGGTCAGCTCGGAATATCCTCGACTTTAACGTTGTCAAACGTAAAGAATAGAGCATATACCATCAAAGAATCTACGATTATCGGCTAGGAGATCACTTGTTGCAGCGCGCTTGTAATGAAAGTGGTCTTGTGTTACTGGTGCAGAACAACCTCGCTTGCTCGTAACAGGCCGAGAGAGCAGCTGAAATAGCGAGTCTCCAGTTTGGACATCTGCGGATGGCGTTCCGCTGGTTTGATCCCACAACATTCGCATAAGTACTCAACGCTTACGTGAAAGTACATGTGGGATGCACCTTCCAGGTGCGGCACCCTTGAGTAAAACCATGACCTCGCTGCTCTTAAGACTCCACGACGGAGAGAAACTAAAAAAGTTGGAGGCTTGCAATATTTCCCTTACCAACTTAAATCGAAAGCCCTCGGAGTGTTCAATGGACAATATTGTCATCTGCGATGTGATCTTGTAGTACTGAAACAAATCCTAAAGTATCCCAACCACACTCGCTAGCACTAATTGTAACTCAACCACTACGCCCCCCTGAGCGACCACCAATCGAATTTGGAAGTACAGCACAATCGGCTGGAGCGCTACTGGAACTTCTGCTCTCTTTGTACATCCCAGTCGTGGGACTTTAGTTGAAATCTTGCCATCTGCTGCCATGCTAATCAAATTTAAGTCACAACTTGATGGCGCATTACAACGCTTGAATTACATAAATTGAACCCAAGTTATTGTCACAAAGTATGAGGTAACGGAAATTTATGTACCCGTGAAACTCACAGCAAGCTGACTAAGGCACTTTGATTTTTCTTGGTGTAATTAATTTTATTTGCACTCTTCGCCTAAGTGACTCGTTCAACATTTGTTTTCCGTACCGTAACAATCCATTGGTTCAATCATTGTTTCATCGATTTTCTTATGTAACATAGTCCAACTATCAAGTATGGCCTGCACTATAAAGCATTGTCACTGTGAATAAATAAGGCTAATGCCGACATACAAGATGGTTCACTTGCTACAGGCCGTCATCGAGATTTATTGAATTGGGTCGAATGTTCATTTTCACTAATAAGCACTCGTGCTGGCTTGACTGCAAGGCGACGTAACTTGTCCATGGCCATTCCTATAAGCTCTCCACTCACTCACATCTGCAAGCTTTTTCTTTCCTCTCTGAAACGCTTTCACTTAACACAGGCGGATTTTGCCAATTCAATGCAAAGAAATTTTAATGTATTCGTCCCAGCAGCTCCCAACTTACCTGGCACAACGACAAACCGGAAAAGCACTAGACGCGTTTCGCCCTACTGGGGCTTGTCAGTGCTGCGTATTCCCTCGGTTCCTTACCATGAAGCAAACTCATGACCGTTAGAGGAGGACGCAAACTAGACAGCAGAGTAAACAAGTGTATGAGATTCTCCCTGTGCCTGCTGTTGCTCTCTGCTTGCTCGCTTTGAAATCTTGAACGCCGTCATTCCACTTCAGTTTAATCGCCCTTGCGTTCACCTGGTTTCTTTTTCGCCGGGACTAGTCACTCCTCACACAACTGGCTCTCTGTCGAATTCACTGATTTGTCTATTTGTACAACCGTTAGCTGCTAGTCTCTCTGTGTCTATCAAGCCACTCTGCGTTCGACGTCGATGCTTTCAAGATGCGGCGAATTCATACTATCATCCGGATGGCGTTTCATTCGGGAGCTAGAATTCTGGCCACATAGCCCTGCTGTCACATGTTCATCCTCGAATGTGTATAATGAAGCTAAGCAGAAATAAGTTGAACCATTGGCAATTGGAGTTGGCCGTTCTAGTTTACATGGGCCATGCAAACTACTGCTGGTGCTGCCAATTGCCAGGTTACTTCGTTTGATAAGGAAGCATTCGTTGCACAACGAAAAGGACTATGGACGTAGCACTTATCTCCCTTGTGGTCTCTATCTTGCGGTCACCTTTTACCTGTTCTAGACATCCTCCCGCATTTACGCCCCCAACTCTCACCACACACGTGTGTTTATACTCATTCGAGCCGGCTTCACGAGCGCTATTTGGTGCACTTTATCGTTTGAACCTATCTTGGTCGGATTACTTTTAGTTCTACTTCGCACTTTTTACAACCGTCTCGCCGAAACACACATGCTCATTTTTCCAAGCCATGAGGAGCACAACATTTGTGGTCTCAAGCGAAAGCTAAATCCGAGGTCTACATAGCGAGTTATCAGCTAACGCTGTCGACTACAGAGTGAGGCAGCCATCGAACAATTCCGGTCCTTTATTGCTCGGTCACCTTACTTACACCTCTGAGCGACTACTGAGTGAGCGACACAATCGCTTAACCTACCCCGCAACTTCCTGTGACTCGGCGTGATGTGCTATGGACACACTCACATAGTACACTGTGAATGCTGCGTGCGGAATATAGCCAGTCAAGAGTTCAGCCATCCACCTGAGGGGCACTGATGGATAAAACTGGCTGATGGAATGGGTTAAAACGACCAAAAAACCGCACTTAATACTACTAACATGAGAGGCGTCCGCACGCTAACTTCATGCCAGAAAAATAAACGATCTAGAATCCAATGTCTGAATTGCCTTACACCATCCACCCATAGTGTATCAAGCTCAAATCAAGCGAGGTTAAGCTGACCATAGCAGGCCGCTCTCCGTGGTTCTTTTCAGCTTCAGGTATTTGCATGTGGATAGCGTGGTGAGTCCACAGATGTGCGGTTTGCTTTGCTGCCAAATATTTTGGACCTATGTACTTCACTTAGGTATCCCACGAGAATTTCCAAGCTTAAGAGGTCGGTCCGGATTATACCATTGGTCTAATGTTCTGTTGCTTGATAAAGTACCCTGAGTTCAGGAGTTAACAAAACTTGTCCTCTAACACCAAATCACAAAATGTTACGCTGAGCCTTGTGGCTAATACACGATTGCTAGGGAAGTGTAGACTCCTCGAAATAATCTCTTCAAACGTCCGGATGTGTTGTCTTCGTTCGCTGTGTTATCATGATGGCTTAGATTAACCACAATGGCAAAATGGAATTCAATACGCTTCAACTTCCATGTACGTTCGACCTTACTGTACGGTTGCGAAACCTGGCCCCTAAGATCGGCGGACATGAAGAGGCTAGTTACGCTCGATCATCGGTGCCTTCGCAGTTTAGCTCATATCTGGTGGGAACCCCGCGTGAGTAACGAGCGTGTTCGATGACTTGTGTACGGCACAGGAAAAGGAACTGAACCGCTCAGCACCGTCATTTCACGCAACAGGCTCCGATGGCTCGGCCACGTGTTACGCATGCCAGACCATCGACTTCCATGATGTGCGTTGTTTGCTCGTCGGGGATGTAGATGGAGGAAGAGAAGAGGTGGCCAAGCGATGACTTGGTTAAGAGGAATGAAGTCCCTCACTTCTGTGCTAGCCTCGGTTGGAGCCTCACGGCTCCCTGGTTGGGGTCAGAAAGACGGTGAACACGTTTGGCTGGATACACTTTTGATTTGGCTAGGAGCCGACCTCAGTGGCGTTCCTGCTGTGAGTTTCTTTATCCCTCCCCATCCCCTTTAGCCTCACCTCCACCTACGATCGCATTTCTTAGCGTAAAACACAATAAGTTCTTTCTTTTTGCCTAGTAGCCGGCTGGTAGCTTACCGGAACGATGCCTATCCGTTGCTGGTAGCGCAGCTGGCATGCAACTGTTGTATTTATTTTCCTTTTTCATTTATGTATGGCGGCATAGTAGCTGAGGTGTTTCCCACCTCTAGCTGACGTGTATAATGATGGTGTATGATGAACTTCCGCTATGCATCACACATTTTGGGCTAGAGTTATTTAGTTTCCAAACTGTTGTTGGTAAACTGTGCACTAACTACAGAGTAGTATGTCACAAAATGGTGTGCCATTAGTGTATTTTTGTTTAAAAATAATATAGGGATAATCTGTTGGCAAATGTCTTGATAACTAGCCTAAGTGACCTAGGAAAACGCTAAACCAAGTAACACATACGCGAAAGAGTAGCTAGGCAGGGAAAATCCCATTGATTCGCAGACTTCGCCCTTCTTCTTGAGACAGAGGATGCTGATTGTGATAGCTTTGTTTCGTTCTTGTTTGCGAAACTATGGTAAATGTGCCCGTAGCCATTTGTGGATTTGCTCGTTTGTTTTGCTGCCCACACCACCCTCCAGTTCCAGACATGCGCCCCACCGTAGCCGCACTCGAATGTATTATCCTGCCAAGTGAAGCTGCATGTCTTCTTTCTGCAGTTCGAGAATTCTCTCAAAATGTTTGTAAGGTCGTATGCTCAGTACACTAAAAGAGTTTTGGGGTATCTCCAATATTTTTACCCAAGGTTCGCCTCACTTCCTTTAGGTAACCCTTCATCTGGCTACGCTTTTCGCACAATATTTGGAAAACGACCATAAAAACAGTGCTGGCGCCGAGTTCCAGTTCTCGCATAGCATAGAAAAAATTCTATAAAGAACTAATAAATACAGACGGAATACGAACTCCAGTGCAGTGAGGTCGTTCCCTGCTGTTGTTATGCAACGTCACCAAGTGGTTACCAAGTATGGATGCAGATGAAATCGAAGACAGCATGTTATGTTCGCCAATGTACTTCTAAGCAGAGACGATAAAAAGATTTTCATGAAAAGCAATTGAGACATTCGCTCATCATCACCTACCTTGTGCAGCTTAAAGTACAGACCGCATGCGTTGCACACCGGATCTCCATCTGCATTACGCCGCCACAGTGTGGTGGAAGATGTTGCGCAGTTGACACAAACCTGTCCCGATCGCCTGATCGATTGATTCAAATTCATCTGGACGCAAAGATGAGAATAAATTGAAAATTTGGTACTCTGCAAGTCACAGAAAGCGCTTTATCATGGTGTCACAAGGTATGCTGACAGCCAACTCAAGTTTTCAAGCACTGACATTCAGCTCGCTTGAATGCTCCCAGAGTGACCAAACCACCGGGCTCAGACACTCAACCAACCCTCTTACCCTCCAAAAGGTAGGAAGAATACCATCAATGGAAAATTTCGATGCGGTTATCTTGTGCTTGGTAGGTTTTAAACAAGCTACACCACGGAAATTTCCCTCTGGTTCAGTAAACTTCTTTCACATCACCACAAATTCAGGAGCGCTGTTCTATATTTGATATCATGAGTGTGACAGATCAGAATGGAATAAACAAATTGAGAGAAAATGCTAAGCACTTACTCAAGACACCAGCAGCTCGTCGATGATACACTTACCTCATGGTGATGTTATCTGTGGAGGTGTATTGGTTAATTGGTCACTGATAGTTTGGTTCCTTAGAGTGTCCGCAGACGAGTGACTGTCATTATTTACCCAGACAGTAGCCAGCTTCCGACTCGGTGGAAAATGTTGTTTTATGGTTGCAGTCATATGACATGACTGCGTTAATACGTTTCGAGTATTGCGTACTGAGTTGCTTATCCCCAGTTGCTCGATCGTGTCAGGAGTGATACTAAACTTGACGAGCAGCCCCTTGCATAGATGACTATTAAACCGGCGAACTCATTTCAAATCAGCTACATCTAAAGAACACATTAACTATGTTACACGAATAGATAACAAGTGAAAACAAAACACTTACCTTAAATGTGAAAACCATGTAACTTAGCACCATGAGCAAAAAGTAATATGACTTTAGGTGTTTCCGAGCTCGTGTAAGACCTTCAGGTGGTTACCAACCTACCAATTAAAAACCTTAGATGTGATGTCCGGATTGGTGTGAAGAACTACTACGCGCGCTTGGAAATATACTAAGCATTCGTTCCGTCTTTTTTGTGGTTGGCAGCATTGACAACTGTCTGATTGAGGTGATGGCATCAAATCACACTGGGGAATTGGAAAATCTCTAGGCTTCTTCTAGAGGGTTAGAAGAGTGATCCGATCCTTGGTGAAAAATATCCGTGTGTCCTCGAAATAAGAATGTCCTGTGCACAGTTCGTAAGTGACAGTAAACACCGACGTCGGTTTCGCTCTAATGTCCGCACCTACTATTGGGTATCAACTCAGTTGCGCACCGTATGCTGACAGGGCGCAGACTAACAACAGCGATTACTTATGAGTAGAAGGATGTTGGCGTGTATTTTTGTTCGTCGCAGTCAGCCGACAATTCAGACAAGTCAACTACCTATCCGGAAAAGCACCAGACGGCCGGTTCGCCCTATTGTGACCCTTCAGTGGTGCGCATCCTTCGGTCCTCTATGGAGGATCGAAACCAACCACTGTCATCTGCATGACAGATGTCTGCATGACAGTAGAGGATGGGTCGGGCTATATCGCAGTTAGCTAACAATTCGTGATGGTCGGCTGCCGTCCTCCATGACTCAGTGGCATAGGCTGCGGGCTAGTTGGCACAAGCCACTAGCAGTCATGGGTTCGATCCTCCGCAGAGGACAGAAGGATGCGCACCACTGACGAGCCCCAATGGGGCGAACCGGCCGTCTGGTGCTTTTCCGGATAGGTAGTTGATTTATCTGAATTGCCGGCTGACTGCGACAAACAAAAATAACAACAAATAGGTTTTATAAGGACAAGCACAAGAGATACTTACCAGGCTGGGTTCAAACTGAGGAAACTGTATCCCAGATTTGGGTCCCCGACGCTCGCGTATAGTAGTATCAGATCGCCTGTGTGATACAGCATCCCACGGTGATCTGGATGTATCCGGAAATCCGGATATCGCTTCGACTAAACTGGAGCTTTCACCATTTCGCTCTGCGTCAGGCAAACGCATATTATTGAACAGTCTTAGTGACAGCTTCGGATTCCAACTCCAGTTGCAAGGTGCAGAGGCGGGAATACTTAAACGTGCTTCCGTGGAACGCATATGGTCTGCACTGGCGGCTCCCAACAGCTGATCGAAGCGGGTACATTGTGTCGGATGGTACCTCATAAACTCCGTGTGTCTGTGGTGCGAAGGGACGCCAAAGGAAGTTGCGGCGCCTCCTCTGGACGAGGGTCCAGCAGCATACGGGCTTGAAGACTGCATATAACTTTCGTGGTTCATCAACTTTTCAAATGGATTTGCAACCGAAGATATACTCCGCGAGCATGGTTCTTTGTTCGTCCCTTTCGCCGTACCAAGAAAAATGTTCCTATATTGCATATCACACGCAGCAGCTCCAGCAGGGTAGCTCTGCTGAGTAGGTTCAGATCCGAAACAGACACCTGTGGTATCTAACACAATTGCAAACAGTTGTGAAAAAGAGCTTATCTGAATGACTCATTAAACAAACACGGGACTAAAGATCACTCATAACGATCAACTGATTCAGAAATGCAGTTACATGACGTAATGGCATTTACTTTATCGCCTGTCGCAACCATCACTGATTCTGTAAGAATACGCTCTTCTCAGTTAAGAGATTTCCCTGACCATATTTATCCAACCCTGTCATCATTCACTCTTTCACATCAAAGTAACGTCTTATTCAGTGGTTGCCTTTATACGGAATTATTCCAGACGGATCGTGATTCCTGCAACCTAAGTTGTTTTAGCACTTCTCGTGGTCAGTTTTAAGTCTGACAACCTGTTGTATTTAACAGAACACACTGCTATGAAACTACATTCGATAAAGGATCCTCCGCCCTATCCGGAGATTTGAAATTGCCTCCTATAGGACCATTTCTGAGGAGGCTACAACCCAAATTTGGCTTTTGATTACATTCGTCCATCAGTGGCACACCCGCCACCGAGGCACGTTAACGATCTTAACCTTAAACGAAGCACCGTCAATTGATAAAAATGCCATACTGTGCTTGCGTGTGCGGCATTCTCGTGACAACGCAGCCAGTGATAATGGGGGTCAAGAGCGAGACGGTGACAGAGAAATTGAGAATCACTCACTTTCGGCCTCATGTAATTGAAACGCTGCAGTGTTCCATTGCTACAACACCTCACAATAAAAATAATTCTACTTAGCGGCAAATGCAAGGAATCGAAATCCACCCGCGTGGACAGAACTAGTCTGGCCTACTCAAACTTCGGCTTCGCATTCCACGCTAAGTGTGCTGGTGTAAGTTAGGTGGAATTAAAGAGGGCTAAACATGTGACCGATGCACGCTGGTTTTTCCGGGTATATAGAACTATTCCGATAGCCAATTGTGTAGTTATTTATAAAAAAATGGGAACAATTAACCGAAACGATTAAGTAGATAGTGGGTCACAGTGCAATGCCATTGGAATGGAAGGAATTCGATTCTGTTCCCAAGCAACACCCAAGGATTGAAGTCAGTCTTGCCAACACCGCACAATATCTGCACCACTTACTATAATACAGCCTAACCCTTTAACTGAACAGGTCTCATTCTACGTGACCAGTATTACCCCATTCATATAAGCTTCACCTAGAAATCCAGTACTGACACCGATAGCTCAAAGCTGAATGCAACCTGGTGCAGAGGAAAACCGACAACGTACGCATCAGTCATTTCGATAGACACATCGGAAGCAACACACGTTGGTCCAGCTACTGTACCGAAAATAAGCGGGGCGGCGCAGGTTTCACCGTCAAGCCTAGTGGCGCCTTCCAAGAAACTCAATTTACCAGCAAAAACTTGAAAACCGACACTCTACACCATTTAATAGGCATGTTAGCGCATTGTAAGAAGCATTAAGCTTGACCCATTTTCGAAATCGCGTGCAGTGCTTTCAAGTTAACGAGGCTAAGAACGCTGTTTTGGCATCATTGACACTCTCATTGGTAATGGGACTTAAATCAATAGGACACCGGTTGGAAGCCCCGAGCATACAGGACAGATAGTCCAAAGAAAGTGCTCGAGCACTAACTTCTGTTCTGTCTTGACGCCCATCTGAAGTAAACCTAAGTGATTAGTCTCCAAACTGAAACCGTCCAATGGGAAACTTGTGATGCCTGTCTAAGGAGGAGATCCTAACTACCACATGATCCGAAGCTTACGACGTAACCAGTGCGGACAGACATAATAACAAACACATGAAATGGTCTATACATACTGACCGCTGGTGGCTACCTGGCGGTGGCGTATTCAGCGGCCTAAGCATGGTACCGAAGACCGTCAATCATCCAGCTGGTATTCCGCAGTCCCTGAGGTGTGAGGGAGTGAGGCAGGCATGCATTTGCGGTTGGTCACACATGTGCCGTGGCCTGGACACTGCACAACCAAACCTGAATCATCAATGGCTGTGTAGTGTACCGGAAAAGACGCTGATTCAGTATTGCAACCTTGGATTTTACGGTTGTTTTAACCTTCGAAACGTCCACTTGTTTTACTCACTGCACGTCCGTTGACACAAAGCGTTTTGGTGAGTATCGTGCTGCACTGTTTCTCCCTCTGGTTGATTCCCTTCCAGTTTTTGTAGCCTGCACAATATACGTTGGGTTCAGGCGCCTGTAACTTTTTAGCGTCATTGATTGCAGAATATTATCACAGGCTCCACCCAACAATTGGTGACGCCGCTCCAGAATACGCAGTCCGCCAATTGGAATTTTCATTCTAATGAGATCGTTCTAGTGCATTTTTGCTTCATTACTTGTGATCATATTGTTTTCTCACTTACCACATTTTTCTGCTTTTTGCCATGACTTATCTATAGGATGAGCAATCTCCATACGCGGTTAACGCCGTTGAGCCTGTCATGTTAAATTCAGTTGCGTTAGCCCCTCCATCTTTTTGGGGGAATGATCCTTCGTTATGGTTTTGCACCTAGAGTCTGTTTTTTACATTCGTATGATTTTTTCTGAGTTCGCCATGTATAATCAGCTGATATCTGGCCTTCCGCAAAGTATATCCTCGCAGGTGAGAGAATCATATTTTGCCTTTCTCTTGTAATGAAATACGAGACCCTTAAACAGGCTATTATTCAGCGAATCACGCATTGTGACAAGGTCCGTCTGCAGCAACCATCTAGTGATCGGTAACTAGGAGATAGGATATGCTCAGCTTTGTTGCACGAAATGCAACAGCTCATCGGCATGTCCAACATGGACGTAGTGATTCTGCGCCATCTGGGGATACAATGCCTTCCTGAAGCACTTAGGCCATTTTCGCAGTAGCAAGTGATTTGTCAATCACAGCACTTGCAAATCTCGCACACCGCGTCATCCAACGGCACCAGCCAGAGAATGAAACCAAGGCACCTAAGCAGCTTGGTGCTGGTGCAACCACACCTACACCCGCGACTAGCCACCCATCGGCAATAGACGCATTATCATCGCAGATAGCGTCGCTTCAGCGCCAGATAGAGCCACTCAATTTAAACCGTAAGCACCGCAACCCCACTGGATCATCGCCCCGTCACACAAAACCTCATGCCCCAGGTTACTGCTTTTACCACTCTCGTTTCAATACTAAAACCCTAAGTACGTACAGCAGTGTAGCTACTCCGATATAGATGGTCCGCCACGTCGGCCTATAATGGCCAAGAACATCGGCAAAGCCCAAAGTCGTCTCACCTACATTAGAGATTATGATTCCGAGACCCAGTTCTTAGTTGATACCGGGGCGGAAATCAGCGTTATTCGCCTTATACCTGGTGAGCATATCGCTTCTTTGTCGACAAGCCTAAGTGCCGCCAATGGCACACCAATAGCCACCGACGGTCATCGGTCGCTTATCCTGGACCTAGGTCTACGACGCACGTTCCGTTGTGTATTCACCGTCGCTGCAGTCCCCTTTGCCATCATCGGCATTGAATTTCTCAGCATTTCGACCTCTTGGTCGATTCGAAACGCCAGATCATAGTCGACACTGCAACAAAACTCAGCGTACGTGGCATCACCGCCGATGTCACATCTATATCCCCGGTCTGTGCATTTCCCCAGACCTCGCCAGACTACGCTAATCTCTTTTCTCAGTACCCCAAGCCCGCTCAGCCAATAAACGCAGCTTTGCTCATGGCATCCCAAATCACGCACCAAACCATGCATCCCAAAATCACGCACCACCCGTCTCATGCCGTCCACGCCGACTATCGCCTGGGAAACTAAAGGTAGCTAGGGCGGAGTTTGAGCACATGTTTGAAGTTGGAATAATCCGCCCTTCCGACAGTCCTTGATCCTCGCCCCTGCAGATGGTCCCCCAGAAATCTGGTGAGTGGCGCCCTTGCGGTGAGTACCGCACACAAATCGGCTAACCGTCCCAGATAGATATCCCATCCCACACATGCAGGACCTTACCGCATGCCTCACAGGTAAGACGATCTTTAGCAAGATCGATCTGGTTCGTGCCTATCACCAGATACCTGTGGAAGATAATGACATTCCTAAAACAGCCGTCATCACTCCTTTCGGTTTGTTTGAATTTTTAAGAATGCCATTTGGACTGTGCAAACGCCGCACAAACCTTCCAACGTTTCATCCATGGTGTCACTCGAGGCCTAGACTTCGCATATTCCTACCTCGATGATATCTTAGTAGCCAGTTCATCGGAACAAGAGCACCTCGAGCATCTTCGAGCTCTCTTCCAGCGCTTGACTTAACACGGTGTCACAGTCAACCCGACTAAGTGCCAACTCGGCAAATCAACGGTAGAATTCCTAGGCCACCTCGTTTCATCGTCTGGTATCGAAGTCCTTCCTGATAAGATCCAGGCAATCAAGGACTTTCCAGCTCCGACTTCGTTCAAGCACCTCCGTCGATTTTGTGGTTTGGTCAACTACTATCGACGCTTCATTCCGCGCTGCGCTCAGCTCGTGCAGCCTCTGACCGGCCTACTCAGAGGGAATGAACGTAAGTTCGCTTTCCCTGACGTGGCACAGACAGCCTTCGCTGAGTTCAAGAATACTACCTACAACATAGCCCTCCTCGCTCATTCAGAATCGACTGCATCCCTTTCTATTACGACTGATGCCTCAGACGTCGCGGTAGGAGTCGTCCTCTAACAACACATTGGTGGGCAATGTCAACCCCTTGGGTTCTTATCTAAGCGCCCACAGCCAGCGGAATCCCGCTACAGCACGTTTGGCAGAGAACTGCTGGCCATTTACCTAGCCATTCATCACTTCCGGCACACACTCGAAGGCCGCGCTTTCACGGTCTACACTGACCACAAACCCCTTATCTTCGGCCTTCAACTCTGCTTGCGAGAAATATTTGCTACGGCAAACAAGACAGCTAGACTTTTTCACGTACTTCACTGATAACATAAGTCATGTCTCAGGTGTAGACAATCCCTTCGCCGACGCCCCCTCACGCGAC